CTCACCTTGTAAGAAGTCCTCTGTCATGATAACTCTCTGGATCCCCCTTAAAACACAACCAGGTTGCGCAAATGAGTTCAGACTACTTATATATAGCTAAAGAGGGCTGCTAAAATTATTAAAGGCCACGCCACCTTAGTCTTAATTCCTTTGAATAAAGATTTCAATTGTGTTCTAAGGAAAATCAGAGGATGCGGAATAAAGCAGGAAACAAGGGAAAATAGTTAGCAAAGAAAAGAATGATGGGCCATAATTAATGCTAAGAACTACTATGATAAAGCGTCGCTATCTTTAGCGATATGGCCAAAGTATATAAGCGAAGAAAAGTTGGTTTCGATGAATCTCTTGTTTCAGAATTGTTGTGTTTACTTCCATTTCGAGTGGAAGTGTTTGGTGAAGAGATTCGAAGGTCGATTCCACCAAAAAACGACGGCGGATTCCTCTTGACCAGCTGTCGATTGACTTTACTGAGACATTCATGCTGACGCTGTTTTTGAGGTAATCTTCTTCGATTCCGGTGAAAAGGTGCTAAGATTTCGTCCGTGATATTTCGAACATCATCAGAGCAAGGTATCATCGTCACAACCAAATTCAGGGTAACGAGTCAAGAAACACTCACTCGAAATGGGAGTAAACACAACAAATTTTATAAGATTGGAAGGAAGACTATTTAAATTAAAACAAGCTGCAAAACTGTTTCAGAATAGCATAGATATACTGCTTCCTATATTTACCTGTCTCAACTTCGTATCTAAATAATTTAAAGGATAATAGTAGCGTCTTATTTCAATACTGAAATTTCATACATACCAGCCCTAAAAAGAGACTGATAGGAGTGGCTAGATTCAATTGATTTCTAGCATATAAGGTAAATTCTCAATTAAGTAGGAATTGTTAGGCGATTAAAAGTATTTTAAAAACACCCCAGAGATATTAATTCTTACGCTTCACGCGTCTGCTTTATGAGTAGCTTTTGTTTAGCCACTCCAGCGTTCAAGGATATCAGTGCAGAAGCAAGATTATCCTGGGCAGCGAGATTAAGCTTAATAAGTTCAACTGTCGGTTCAAGCCGTTGCTTAATACGTTCCCTAAAAAGATCAAGGAAAATCGCTGGTAAGTCGCACTGCTCCTGTTCTGAAGAGTCCGCGGTGATTTCTGACGTCGATAGAGAATGTTGGGATGAAGAGAATGCTGATAATTGGCTTGTTTTGGAAATTAGATCAGGCGTAATGTCATCAGAATGGATAGCAGAGCGCAAATCCTTAAGAAGAGAATGTCGTTGTTTACTCATCTGCTCCACTTTGTCAAGAAGGCGTGTAGCCTCGACCATTTGTTTCTGTAAGTCCGTATCTATAATGAATAAAAATAGAACGGAAAGTGCCAATAAAGTACAAGTACGTTATGCAATTTCTTATAAAAACATATATGTTGATTCGTTGTTTATTCTAACAAATTTAGCAAATAAATCATTCCCATTGTTAACCCATTAGCCTCTGGGATACCATAAGAACAGTGGCTGAGAGGCTAAATGTATCAAAGCTAAGCCTAAGACGTTAGTAAGCTTATTATTTTGTATGAAGAGGCTGGTTAGAAGATGTGTAGATTGGTCCCATATAAAATAGGATAAGGATTGCCTCGGAATTGTGACGAAGTCCTCGGCGAAGAGTTCCTCGCCCCCGATGAAGAAGTGCTTTGCCTTCATCTATAACGTGGAGAAATCTTCAGTGCCAGACAAAACTCTATGAAAGACCATTATGGTAATTAAGTGGCCTGATTCAAATCTATTTAATCAGACCCTTTCGAGTCAATGTGGTGCCTCATGATTTGGTTGTTAATTCAAACCTTTTCTACATGTTTGCGGATTATTGAGATGGCAGTGGGTGTGATGTAAAAGAGCTACGGATGATACTTTAAGGCAATGTGGTTGAGAAAACTTTATCTAAATCACTTTTATTTTTGACAATGCCCTGTTGACGCGGATATTTGTCAGTTTACATACGCGCTGTGTATAAACAATGCTCGAGAGCAAAGCAAAGTGATGGAGCTTTTGAGCCTTTTCATCTTGCTCAACGAAACTTCCTTATTAATCTAAATCTGACCAATAGTCATAAGTATTTTTCAATCAATTTCATTAACTCGCCGTTTCATAGTGCCAGCCGTTTTACATCATTTCTATGATCTCCATAATCTTCCAATAAATTCTACTAAAACCCATAGCAAGTAAATCAGACCAAATTTGTTTGGCCTTGTTATCGCAACTTGGCCAAATTGACAGAAACACATATAGGAACGCATATTGTCCGCAGTCCATAGTATGCATGAAAATTTCCAGAGTTAGACCGTGGACGCGGTACATGCATACTATGGACTCCGGATTAGGTGCGTTCCTCTAAGTCTTC